GAAGGGCAGATTCTCTTTCTCCGGAAGAAAGTCATAGGTATGTGCCCAATAATATTTTCTTCATAAGTAAATATGGGCATAACATGTTTTAATAGATAATTTTTTTTATGGTGGTCCAAAAACAGGAATATAATTTGACATTTTGTATGTGTTTGCAGATGTGCTCATCAAGCACCTGGAGAAAAGATTCCAAGATCTCCAGAAAGGGAGTGTCCCTTCAAAATGTTCCATCTTCAACCCCAGTCAGTGGCCCTTTGACAGACAGGAGCTGGCTGCCTATGGCAAACGAGACTTTGCTGATATCTGCGAGCATTATCAGCCCCTGATGGACGAGCACAGTGTTAAAACTAAAATGCTGAAGTCTGAGTTCATCCTCTACAAGAGTTATGCAGCAGCCCGCACACTTCGAATGCCACAGATCTTCTCTGGCATCCTGTGTGACACTGAGAGATGCAAACAGTATAAGGGGCTGTCAATACTGTTTGAAATATACCTTGTTCTGGCAGTCAACACTGCAGTGTGTGAGCGGGGGTTCAGCTGCATGAAGAGGGTGAAGAACGACTGGCGTTCCTGTCTGGGTACTGAGCAGCTCAGCCGCCTGATGTTTTCCTCCATTGAGGGCCCCTCAATGGACAACTTTGATGCTGCCGGAGAAGTGGTGGACCTCAGGAAATAGGGCTCGTCGCCCTGGCTTCAACCCGTGGCAGAAGGAGCAGGAGCAGGAGATACGGGACGACCTCTATCAAGACCTGGTTCTTATGGATCAGGAAGCCGAGCAGGAGGAGAATGTGCGCCAGGAGGCCATATCTGACGAGCTCGGACTTGAGGCAGAGAATGTGGCTGCTGGCGAGAAGCGCTTGGCTGAAGCTCTTGGCGACTCAGATGAGTCAGACATAGACGAGTCAGACATTGACACTTTCTTGAAAGACTATCAGTCGTGGAATCAGCAAACACAAACAAGAAGAAGTGAAATTAAGAATAAAATTGAAATTGTACAATATAATATTGTGGTGGTTCATCTTATAATTCTAGAGAATGCACCAGACAGCATCTAAGACCTGCAGGTCCCCCAAACCTTTCGTGTGTCATTTCGTCCGCGCGCATTTTTCAGGGCCATCTCTATTGGACTCAGGGCCATCTGTAAATTAGCTTAGATGGCCCACAGGGCCATCTCCCAAAATCCTTAATGTCATGCCCTGTGTTAGTCTAGTAGCCTCCCTTCTAATATGTTGCTAAACATTTGCTAGATACATGTTAGCTAGCTAATGAGCTTCACATATCAACCTGAAAAACCGATACCGATAATCGGTCAAATGCGGAATATCGGCCCCGATAATCGGTTGACCCCTAGAAGAAACTACAGCACGGTCACATGACTTCACGTCACCACCGCTAAGCTAACGGCGGCTAATGTTGGGCTATAAAGGAACTACAGCTCGGTCACATGACTTCACGTCACCACCGCTAAGCTAAAGGAGGCTAATGTTGGGCTATAAAGGAACTACAGCACGGTCACATGACTTCACGTCACCACCGCTAAGCTAAAGGAGGCTAATGTTGGGCTATAAAGGAACTACAGCTCGGTCACATGACTTCACGTCACCACCGCTAAGCTAAAGGAGGCTAATGTTGGGCTATAAAGGAACTACAGCACGGTCACATGACTTCACGTCACCACCGCTAAGCTAAAGGCGGCTAATGTTGGGCTATAAAGGAACTACAGCACGGTCACATGACTTCACGTCACCACCGCTAAGCTAAAGGTGGCTAATGTTGAGCTATAAAGGAACTACAGCACGGTCACATGACTTCACGTCACCACCGCTAAGCTAAAGGAGCCTAAAGTTCAGGATTACGTTGCATTTAGCTGACGCTTTTATCCAAAGCGACTTACAATAAGTGCGTTCGACCAACAAAATACAACTTGAAGAAAACAGAATTATATAAGTACATCAGGCTTCATAGAGCAAAAACATTTCAAGTGCTACTCAACTGGCTTTAGATAAGCCAGTCCTTTATTAGTATAAAAGTGCTTCGTTAATAGTTCAGGATGATGAAGTTTAGTTGTTGGTTTTATGACAAATATAAGCCTCGGATATTAACCAGTGGGGTGTTTACTGACATACTTTATGTATATATACGTCTATTATTAACCACAGTTATTGTTTCATAATTCAAACCAAAATCTCATTCACAAAAACCTTTTACATACAGACGAGGAAACAGGAAGTGCAAACATGATGACTAATTTCCAGCTTTTTCAGGACTTATTTTCGGTAATTAAAGTTTAAAAGTCTCAAAATGCAACAACTACTGTCACAAACTGGATGAATGTGAAGTATTTTGTTAAAGGAGGATGAAAGCTTAGTTAAGGAGCACTATTGGAGTGACTTTGATGGTTATTGGACTCAGGATTCATTCATTTGGATTCCCGCTGTATGAAGAAATTAAAGTACGGCGCAAGTGGAAACAATTCACAAAGGGATTAAACTGTTTAAAACGCATGCTCAAAGTAAGCCGGATTTTGCCGATGTGTTTATGTGGATTCAAAAGAGACCGATCTGATCGGAGCAACTGTGACAAATAATCTGAACCCGTCATGGACAATGACTATGTTTTTAAAAAATGCGCTTATCCAGAAAAGCCTGGTTTGGACACTTTACGCGCAGAAGAAACATTTCTATTAAAGACATAATTATACATTTCTGTCTTTGTATGCCTTTAATACGAACTTGAATTTGTATTCAAATTAATTAATCAATTATTTTTTATATTTTATTGTAATGAAGAGACGAGGCTTTTAGTGACAATCATGTATTGCCTTACAATTATATGTAAATAAAAAAATCTAAATATGATATTTGGCCTCAAATCATCTGAGGCCTGGCGCCCCCCCTGCGATCTTTGGCGCCCCACCAAGGGAGGCGCGCCCCCCAGGTTGGGAACCACTGCTCCGGGGGGTCAAAAGGCTCCGTGTGTATGTCCTATATGATAATCTTCCTGATAACGATGAAGCCATAGCCCTGCCTCTCCCCACCTCTGCTGCTCACTGATGTAGCATGGTCAGTAGCTAGTGCTACTGCTACAGATGTTAGCGCAAAATCTACAGCGCCTCTACCACAACTATCAGCAACAAGTGGACATGGAGTAGGGCTGTCCCGAATACCATTTTTCGGGCTCCGGATATTCTGTAGTAATCTGCAGCGAATATTCGGTGCGGAGAGATTATTTTTTTTTAATATATATATATATTTTTTTAAATGTCATAACACGCTCCGAGACACCTGACACCTGACGACACGCTGTTAAGCAGAAGCGCAGAAAGAGCATACTATTACGATTTATATGTATTTATTGTCTCAGTACTCGCATACATTCAAACTAAATGTGTCCTCTGCGTTTAACCCAGCCGCAGCGCAACGCCCGGGGACCACATCCGGTTCCAAATGCCGTCTATAACGTTTTACAACCTGAAGATACAAAACACATATTTCTGTTATAACAACAATACTTTTAATAACATAGCCGTAACAGTAGGCCTAACAGGGTAGTACTTTTTACCGATACAGTATTTAAAAAAGGAAGAACGAAAAATAAATGAACGAACTGTATGCCAATAATTGCCTTAGCCCCAGATGTTCCCACATTGCTCCTATTATTTTCACTATTCGGATCAAATTGAAAAACTAATATAAAAAAACAATTCGGTTGCTTGCAACTATTTTCCAAGAAAAGTAAGAGTACGATTTTACCATGTGTAACGTTACTGTTTAAACGGCGGATAAAGCAGCTTCATCACGGCAACTTGACAACAGCTAAGCTAGGCTAGTACTCACAGCATCCGGTGACTTTTCAGAGTTGTTGTGCCACCGGCCAGTTTCTTGTCGCATATTTGGCACACTGCCTTCTTCTTACCGTCGTCCAATTTAAAATGGTCCCACACAGCTGAAGTCTTCGGCATTTTGTGTTCAGGTGTGTGAAGCGAGGTGAAGCGTGCCGTTTGCGTTCGTGACTGTGTGCGATGTCAGGAGCACAGGCTGAGATTGTATATATTTCCGCATTTTAACAGTGCAATTCAAAAGTATAAATATAGTATAAGAATATGGCAATTCGCCTTTATTGATAGCATTTAGATACATTTCGGAATTATTTTTTTTTGTTGAAAAAAACAACAAAAAACGAATATTCGAATAATGAAATTAAAACCCGAATAGTTGGCCAACGAACGAATATTCAAATAGTTGAATATTCGGGTACAGCCCTAACATGGAGAACTACATGTTGCTAAATCCACCGCGGAGAATAAACAGAAGGGCAACCATGCTCGGGGGTCTTCTTCACTGCTTTTGGTGTATTTTGTGGCGGAAGTACAGCGCCACTTACAGGCCCGGCATATGTACTACAGCGGGTCGAGCGGTCTCGTGTGGACGGACAAGTTTCTTGAGCCGATTCCGTGTGGACAGAAGACTTTTTTAATATCGACTTCGGTTAGTATTCGTCTCCGTGTAGATGCAGCCTTATTTTTGCTCTGTTTAGAGGTTGTATAGAAGGAGAATAAAGTAGAGTTAAGAAGGGAGTTACAGGTGTCGGAAAACTATAGTATGAGGTGATGCTGTGGCGCTGATCTTGTAAGATATATAAATTCTCTCGATAACATGATATCCGTATACCAGATTGCGCTGCGCACGTAAACAACAACGTGGCGTCGGAGCTCCGTTAAAAACGTTTGATACTCATATTTCTGGAGTAATTACACAGTTTCTGACGGACAGAAATATTGTTTCTGTCCTCAGTTTAACATTTTACGGGGGAAATCTGCATTTTGGTTTGAGTGTGACCAGTTGAGACCAAACCCTGGGTGTTAGTTCAAAGCTCATGATTTCCTGTCTCCTCTTAATGTTGTATCAGCCTTAACACTTTGTCTGTTTGGCTCCATATGAACTCACCAATAAGTGTTCACTCGGTGTTAATAAAGTTTCTCCCTCTTCTCTTCTCTATAGGAAAAAACGTTCCTCAGTGTAACTGCACTCAGGACCTGAAAAGATTCATAAATGTAAGTATGCAAGTGAGGTCTCATTTCCTACACATTGCATTTGTATTAATACCATTTAAACTTCTATATATATATTTTAGTATACATATTATGTATTGTGCTTTTCATATTTTCTGTTTAATTTGACATTTTACGTAAACTTATACAAATATCTATATATTTGTATTTATTTCTTCTTAATTTCATTTGATCTTTCATTGGCCATTATCCTCACTCCTACAGTACTGAATGTGAACTAAACAATGCCTTATTTTATTTGTTTGTAATATATTTTTGGCAGCAAACAATTAGTGTTTTTTCAAGACGTAGTAATTGTACATCTTAAGTTTGTCTGTCCGAAAGATAAAATAAAAACAGTAAAATGTACGAACATTAGGGAGTGATCGGGACTTCACAGTAAAATCCTACGTTTGTAAAAATGCCTTATTTTCATGAATAAATATCATTTTATCCGTCTTTTCTCTCCCCAGATTCGTACACAGGTCCACATCTGCCTCCCCATGCAGAACTCCATGAAATGAATAAAGCACCACAGCCTATAACAGGACCCCCCTCCATCCCCCACCCTGCCCCCTCCCCTGGCCTATCACAGGTAAGGACCCCCGCTACCTCACTTCCTGTTCTGACTCTTCTGGGACTTGTTGCTCGACCCCACGTGGCCATGGATGTATAATAAGAACTGGATACAGCGTGGGAGGCGGGGCCTCATTCATTCCTATGAGAGCTGCTCATTAGAGCATGATGATAAAATGGCCCAACTTTTGAGAGAGTGAAACGTCACAGATTACCCGGCATGCCGGAGAAGTACCCGTATGTGCGCTCATCGCGCATGCGCAACTTTAACCAAAATGCTTGTTCACATCAAGCACGTCAATTTGCGTACACGTAACAGCACCGTGCGTTCATGACAGCATGGTAATGGATTTTTATTATGATGGATTTGATATTAACGAGGCGGCAGTTAGCAGCTAGCGGCTAGCTAATAATTATGCTAATGCATACATCAATCGTTATGTACTTCTATTACGCTGTGTAACATGATCTAGTGATATCCAACGGAGCTTCATTTAGCATGAAATAATTATTGCACTGATTATTATTCGCCAGGGCTGTCCGATTTTGATCATGGTCAGTTTCTGGCATCCCTACTATCGTTCCAGTGCAAGGGGATGACTTGTATCTGTTGGCAGACCCTGAAAATAGCATCGCTTTCTTTACCTTAAGGGAAAGTCCAATAGGATTATTAATGCTATTGTCCGGCAGTGGCTCAGTCAGTAGGGGCTTGATTTAGCTCATGTTTAAATAGAGAAGAGAAATAAGGAATTAGTTCGCCTGCGGGAGTTTGCAGGATGTCACAATATTTTTTACATTACATTGCATTTATCTGACGCTTTTATCCAAAGCGACTTACAGTAAGTGCGTCCGACCAACAAGATACAAACTTGAAGAAAACAGAATCATATAAGTACATCAGGTTTCATAGAGCCAAACATTTCAAGTGCTACTCAACTGGCTTTAGATAAGCCAGTCCTTAGTAGGGGTGCAACAACTAATCGACTTAATCGATTACCAAATTAGTTGCCAACTAATTCAGTCGTCGATTAGTTGGTGACGTCATCACGTGTGTTTTACGCGCCGTTAAGCTCCAACGTTATCGGTCTTTTTATCGGTACTGGAGACATTTAAAAAATATATGTCATGTATTATTGCTACAAAAACATATCTCAGTTTTAGTGACGCCAACTCGTTTCTAATTTGCAAAAAGAAAAGAAAAATGCGTCTATGATGTATTTTCGACCTTTCCAATCGAGACGAGATCTCTCTCCCGTCTGTGTGCGAGGGGGCGGGGCAGTTTACACACACGCAGCTGCTACATGCAGCAACACACGGAGGAGATGGCGGAGCTCCAAGGTGTGGTTAAACTTCTCGATGCTCGTTGCCAAAAGTGCAATAAGAGTTTAGCATGTAAGGGCGGTAACACGAGCAATTTGTCTAAACATTTATCAAAAGTGCTCCACATCCAGACGGAGGAATGCACCGGGTTCCACTGTCTTTCTAGCAGCTCTGTAGCCCCATCCACGAGTAACGTTTCCACGTCAGGTGTTATGTATGCTAGCAGCAACACACGGAGTTAACTACATTATACAAACATGGGTTAATGATGAGAGGAAACTGAGTTATTTATTTAGTTAAAGTTTCAGCTATTCTGTCATCAGATTATTTAATACGATTTGTTAAAACATTGTTGTTTCTTTTGATGTGAAATATTATTTATTTAATTTAAATAAAAAGCAATGTTAGTTTTGTCTAGTTAATTTAATAATGTATGTATTTTTGAATCAAGTATTCAATGTCTTCATTGTTAGTTTCCACATGCCTAAAACAACCTCAAGCTACATCTAAAAGTTGATGGCTAAATAAGAGCGTTACAGGCATCCAGTAATAGTCCGAATAGTCGATTATCAAAATAGTCGTTTGTTGCAGCCCTTAGTTAGTATATAAGTGCTTTGTTAGTCCGGCAGTGGCTCAGTCAGTAGGGGCTTGGACTGGGAGCCGTAGGGTCGCCGGTTCAAGTCCCAGGCCAGACCTAAAATATGGAGTGCGGACTGCTACTTGGAGAGGTCCCAGTTCACCTCCTGCCCTGCCGTGGTGCCCTTGAGCAAGGCACCGGACACCCCCTCACTCCCATTGCTCCCCGGGCGCGGTACTAGGATGGGTTAAAAGCAGAGAACACATGTCACTATTCTATGACTTGTATCTGTTGGCAGACCCTGGAAATAGCATCGCTTTCTTTACCTTAAGGGAAAGTCCAATAGTATTATTAACTTCATTTCAATTTCAACGTAAAACTCTTAGGTCCTCAACAGAAGGCTTTTTCATCTTCAAAATACACTTGTCCAGATTCTAGCTTTCAGACAGTCAACATAACTGCAGTCCATCTTTTTAGGAAGGATTCCGTCTTTGGCAGTCACGCATTGTGTGGACTTGTTGTTTCCGTCTCCTCGAGTCGTGTACTTCGTCTCGGTGTGACCGTTTCCCCTCAATTTTCCAAAGGGACTTGGATTTTTAATTATTGAGAAAAATAAGCTAATTTTCCAAATGAACATATAATACACAAAACTCACAAATTAACATACATTTTGAAGTGTAAATACAACAATTAAAAAGCTGCTGTTGAGCTGTAACACTTTACACCACAGTTGCATGACTACAATGTTACCACTGCTAAGCTAACGGCGGCTACTGTCCAGCCTTATGATGTTTAGTTGTGTCATGTAGCCACTTGTTAGCAACCATCTAAAAGCTTTACAAGCCATATAGATTCACTTTAAGACAAGGGAGGCAGAAGTTCACGTGCTGACTCACTTCCGGTTTTTTAAGGACCCATTTACTGCACCACTTTTCTAAGGTAACAACGACAAGCAAATAAAGCAAGAAATGTTGATCGATACCAACGTAGCTTGCAGCATCTTTACTGCCACTCACTTAGATTCTTAAAGTATCATTGAACTGAGTTTTCTGCTTAACGTGCAGTCTCTCTCTCTCTCTCTCTCTTCTCTCTCTCTCTCTCTCTCTCTCTCTCTCTCTCTCTCTCTCTCTCTCTCTCTCTCTCTCTCTCTCTCTCTCTCTCTCTCTCTGTGTCTCTCTGTCTCTCTCTCTGTGTCTCTCTCTCTCTCTCTCTCTCTCTGTCTGTCTGTCTGTCTGTCTGTCTGTCTGTCTGTCTGTACATGTCTGTACTGTCTGTCTGTCTGTCTGTCTGTCTGTCTGTCTGTCTGTCTGTCTGTCTTCTCTCTCTGTTCTCTCTCTCTCTCTCTCTCTCTCCTGTCGTCGTTCTGTCGTCTGTCTGTCTGTCTGTCTGTCTGTCTGTCTGTTCTGTCTGATCTGTCTGTCTGTCTGTCTGTCTGTTGTCTGGTCTCGTCTGTCTGTCTTGTCTTCTGCTCTTCTCTCTCTCTCTCTCTCTCTCTCTCTCTCTCTCTGTCTGTCTCTCTCTCTCTCTCTCTCTCTCATCCCACCTTTCTGCTGTTGACACCACTTCTTGTCTCTTCCAGCCCTCATACTCCCCCGGGCAGTCTGTAGTGTTTGCCTCCCCTCCTCCACAGATGAACCCGACACCTCAGCCCCGACAGGTAACCCCCCCCCCCCCCCCCACACACACACACACACACACACACACACTGCTCACCTGACACCTCCATTGTAGCAAAAGAGACACAATATAATATAACCTAGCGTACAGTCAACTGAATGCATCTGTGATTTCATGTCCTGCTTCTCACCAGTTCTGCACCCTGTTTGGTCTAATTTCTTATTACCAGTTATCATTTTTAATGTCAGCGTCAACCTGTCCTTAATATCCTTAACCCCATACCTCACCCAGTACCAATGTGCTCACAGCATGATTTTAAACTCCTTAATGCTCCTAGTGAACGCAGGAACTCTGGAAATCAGTCTATCATTTTGTCATCCTAAATCTTCTACAGCATTCATGGTTTTAATATAGCCAGAAAGTTAATGTCATTGTTATTAGCCACATTTTGGACTCATTTTAGAGCGATTACACCGATATATGAGTCATTTCCATTGCCGTTAAAGAGTAGCCCCGCAAAAATAACAAGTTAAGAGGTGCAAGAGCAATGATGGGTGCAAGGGGCTCATTCAGCATGTGTTGTAAATTTATTAGAGCTTGACCAGTAAATCAAAAGACCCTTGTTTCTGAATTGTTGACCCAAAGTTTCAAATGTTTTGTTCGAAAGTCTTTTGTACCATTTCCACTGTATATCACCGTAAAGATCGTGTTATTTAGGTTTTTTCCTTCAAATTAAAATAGCTATATTGTTAAGTAATTGGGTAAGACAAACCAAAATGGGGAAATTAAGTGAAAAAGTGGGCAAACTAAAACCCCTTGGTTTGACTTTCGGAAACCAGCTTTCCACTTTTTCTCAGACTTTTAAACATGACATATCGGCGTTCTAGGTGCAGATTTAAAGGTGCAGAACTGGAGCAAGTGGAGCATGGATTGTTGTTGTCTTTAACCTCTGCTCTGTCTGCCTCTTCTCCTCTAGTTTGCCCCGGGGCCGCGGCCTTTACACCAACAGGTACTAACAGCACAATGACTAATGGCGCATTTCCACTGCAGGGCTTAGTACGGTATAGCTAGGCCTTGGTAGGCCAGGCTCACTTTATGCTGCGTTTCCATTACAGTTTAGGAACTGGGGCAGTAACTATAGTAACGCAGTGTAGGCGGAGCCGTGACGTCATCTTCAATGCGAAACACAGAAAACCAACATCAGCCGTTAGCTGTTAGCCCTCAGAGCTCACAGCTCTTCATATCTGTTCAGAAACTAGACACAAGTTAAACAAGTACAAACCACAGACTGCCTGTGTCATGGCGAATACAGTCGCTGCTTTATTTATGTCTGTAGGCCGTTGTTGTGAGTGTGGACGGTCGGAGCATATACTGCGTTAGCTGAGCCGATCTCCATTCAGAAAACACACATGTTAAAGGTTTTTCGCCTGCCGTCTGTCTGCAGACTCGTCAAAGCATTAATTCATGGTTTTTACTAACCGGTATCAGTATGTTGTTACTTCGGCATCATTTTGAAACGTGAATTACAATTAAATCACGGTCAAATATGTTCATTGTGTTCTAGTTGTAGCCACTCACGTCACTAGTTTAGCATACTCAGCCCGTTGTTGGCCCGGAAAGCACCTCAATTCTGGAGAGCCAGAAAAACTGTGAACAAGTACCCGTTAGCCGGAACTACGCCGAGTGGAAACGCAACCAAAAACGGGCCGGCTCTGGCACGGCAAGCTTAGACCGTGCTACGCGCTGCAGTGGAAATGCGCCATAACTATCCTTTAACACATGTTAGAAACAGTAGAGAAGATTCAAAGGTCCTATGTCTGCTTTCAATACAATGTGCGGACAACCTTTTTAAGGACATTTTCCTACATGAACCATGGGGAAACTTACCACAAGAGTTTCCCTTAATCGGTCACCCAACTAGGACCTGAAAGAGGGAACGTTGACTTTTTTATACTAGACATTCTGATTAACCCCAAGACTATAACATTAACTTGATGACACAGCATGTTAATCATTGGTATCCAGGGGTGGGACGATATAGGATTAATAAACACCGACAATAGTTTGATTGTGGTTTATCTCCATTATTGAAATAAACATCCTTACAAGCGACTTAGAGAAAAGGGGAAATCACAATTATTCCTGCAAGGATGTTCTCACGTCGTCCCGTGCCTAAGGATAGTTAATCAACAATGTGTTTGAATATTTCAGAAGAAGGATTTACCTTCTCCTCGAGTGCATGTGAAAGATTACACACATTAAATATGTAGCTACATTTAGGTTTAAAGGTATACCTGAAAAGAGGTTTTTGAGTTCATCAGGTTGTATGCAGGGAGACTGTATGATATTTAATTGCCTTATTTAAGATAGTTTGTTGTATTGTAATATTGGTTTCTTAACTGTCGAGTAGGGCTGCTCGATTATGGCAAAAATCATAATCTCGATTATTTGGGTTAATAATTGATATCACGATTATTAAAAACGATTATCCATTTACTTTGAAAACATCAATCTATTGGAGAAAAACTATTTGAACAGTATGTTTTTAACGGTTGATTACCCTGAACTTTAAGTATAATTCAACTGAAAAAACAACAAAAAAAGAATCGTTTTATTTCGATTACGTTGTTTTCGTAATCGTTGCAAGCCGTAATCGCGATTTTAAAATACGATTAATTGAGCAGCCCTACTATCGAGGAAATATTGTGATTTTGGAAGTGGTATTTATTGATGAATATTTCCCCTACTCTTCATATCAGAAGGTATTCAAGTTAAACTATGCTTTTTAATCACAATAAGAAATTGATTTGATATAAAAACAGACCATTTAATTCTCCTCTCTCTTTATTTAACGAAGTAAACATTTAGATCAGGAATCCCTCTCTTGTAGTTACTCCTCCTGAGTTCCAGACTTCAGGCCTTGTTGTTGTGGATCACGGCTCTGCATGCCGCTCGTTAATTCGCCGCTTGGCACAGAAGTTTCCGGGTGCTTTGCTCTAACTGATTGTGGTGCTTCTTCCTCTCTTCCCACCCGCCTCCTCCTCCTCCTCTCTGTGTGTGCCCTGTGTGTTTGCTGCTGAAGGGAAGCTTCAGGTCGCTGCAGGTAACTCAACTTCCTACGCAGTTTCTCCTCCCACCATCTTAATAAGCGTGTCAAATATTTGGCCGTTTATATTTTCTTTCTTTTTTGGCTCTGTGATTTTTGCTGGATGTAGAGGTTACCTCCCAGCCCTGCAGCAGAATGCAAATGAGGAACCTGTGAATGAATTAGCATGAGCTGCTTTATCTCTGCTGGCAGGCTGCGCCAACATGTCTCCAGCTGGAGCCCAGCCACAGACTCAGGGGCAAACCAGGAGCTAGTGCTGCAGGGAGGACGTGTTTCTGTACTTAGAATCACTTATTCCTCTTTAGGTCCTGAACTTAAGTGAAATACTTTTGCCACTCTGTCAAAACACTGTTGCAAGTAAAAGTCTTAGCATTGAAATTAAAACTTCAAAAAGTAAATAAAATGTAAGTGTTGAACGTGAAAGTACCAATCCAAAGTAACTTTTCACCTACAAGCAGAGGTGAGAGAAGTACTCAGATCTTGTACTTGAGTAGAAGTACTCAGATCTTGTACTTGAGTAGAAGTACTCAGATGTTGTACTTTAGTAAAAGTAGAAGTACTCGGATCTTGTACTTGAGTAAAAGTAGAAGTACTCAGATCTTGTACTTGAGTAAAAGTAGAAGTACTCTGATCTTGTACTTGAGTAAAAGTAGAAGTACTCTGATCTTGTACTTGAGTAGAAGTACTCAGATGTTGTACTTTAGTAAAAGTAGAAGTACTCGGATCTTGTACTTGAGTAAAAGTAGAAGTACTCAGATCTTGTACTTGAGTAAAAGTAGAAGTACTCAGATCTTGTACTTGAGTAGATCTTGTACTTGAGTAAAAGTAGAAGTACTCCGCTCTTATACTTGAGTAAAAGTAGAAGTACCAGTGTGTACGAATACTCTATCACAGTAAAAGTCCTGCATTCAAAATGTTCCTCAAGTAAAAGTAGAAAAGTATTATCATCAAAATATAGTGAAATTACCAAAGTACAAGTAGTCATTGTGCAGATTTGTATTTAAGTACAGTATGGGAGTAAATGTACTTAGTTACTTCCCACCTCTGCCTACAAGTGAATATCTTGCTTACATGTGGAAATTCAATTCTAGAAGTGTGAATAATATATATTTATCATACTCTCTTTTATTGTTAGAAATGTATTTATTAGGATAACCCCCCTTGAGATGCTCCATGGCGTTTTCAAGGGGGTCCCGATTGTCTGAGCCCCTACTCTCCCTGTATGGGAATACATTAAGTGAATTGAATCCATGCTTTAGTGAAGATCCTTCATATACACTGTTATGGTACACTGATAGAGACTCACACAAAGTTGCTCATTTCCCCCCCTCCCCCTCCCTTCCTCCCCTCCAGCCCTACTACACCAACAGGGCCGGCCTCCCTCCTAATGGGGGTCCTCGGGGCATCCCTCCCAACAGCGGCCCCCGGCCCGTCACCCCGACCCACGTCTACCAGGCGGGCCCCGGCTCTCAGATGATGATGATCCCCGGGCAGCAGATCCCCTTCCCCAGCACCCCCCAGGGACCCGCCTACTTCATACCTGGACAGGTGAGAGGAATTTAAGATGTGATGCTACATGGTGTATGGATCGATCACATGACACCTTTTTCCTCATATCATTCAGTGCTTGACAATACACCTAAATGTGTTTTAATCATGTTTTTCTTAAATATTTATTGACTGACTACCTGTTTCTCTCATTTGTATTAATTATGAAGGCTATATTACATCAAACAAATTAAGTACTATTAATAACAAGTACAATTGTGGGTACCACTTTACAATAAGACTATTTGTCAAGATGACTAAGCCTTATATTGGCTACCTAGCTTACCTTTGGCGCATTTCAACTACAGCGCGGTTTAAGCAGAGCGGTTTAAGCAGAGCCGGCCTGTTTTTGGTTGCGTTTCCACGGCGTGGTTCCGGCTAGCGGGTACTTTTTCACAGTTTTTCTGGCTCTCCAAAATCGAGGTTCTTTCCGGGCCAACAACCGGGCTGAGTATGCTAAACTAGAGAGAGAATCGCTGGCAAGGGGGATACAACTACAACAAAATGAACATATTTGACCGTGATTTAATTGTAATACACGTTTCCAAATGATGCCGAAGTAACAACATACTGATACCGGTTAGTAAAAACCATGAATTAATGCTTTGACAAGTCTGCAGACAGACGGCAGGCGGAAAACCTTTTTAAAATGCGTGTTTTCTAAATGTAGCTTGGTTAAGCTAACGTTATATATGCTCCGACCGTCCACACTCACAACAACGGCCTATACAGACATAAATAAACCAGCGACTGTACTCACCATGACACAGGCAGTCTGTGGTTTGTACTTGTTTAACGGAAGCTCCGTTTACGCCGGTTGCTAAGCAACATCGTTATGGGGAAATGCAAGTCTGCGTCCAAATGGTTGGAAGATAAGGAGGAAGGACAATCAATACTGTATATACTCAATGTGTGGTACAGTGTGTCGCCAATGTAACCGGTTAAAACTCAAAGTGGCGATGAGGTCTTAAAATGTATGGAAAGGGTCTTTAAAAAAGGTCTTACATTTGACTTCAGGATTCCTGCATATACCCTGTAAAAAGTCTTAAATATGATCAAAAACATAAAGGTCTTAAAGTATGGGATTTGAAAGGTACTTCTGTGTTGCGATCGTGTCTAAATGTGTTTTGGGGGAAATGTCGGGGCTGCAAAGTAACCAGTACGGTAAGAGCCTTCCAGTTCCCCCAACAATCTGTATTGAAATAA